GGGGGGGGGGGGGTCATCACAAGCATACATGCAGTAAATAGGACACTCACTAAGTTTTATACATTCACCTGCTCAGAATAAAGAGAAATATATTGTTGTTTTTTCTTAGAAAGTAGCATTCATTAGAATTATATAGCATTTATTAAATTATGCATCCAAAACAACACTTATGACAGCTAAAACGGCATGATTAACAGAAGGGAAAGATCATCCTTATGGTGGGAAAATACTTGCTTTCTCATCTCGTAAACAGTAGTCTCTTTTATCAAAGTTACAATACCGTGCTACTTGCACCTTTACTAATATGAAAAAAACAATATTAGAAAGAGGTTGCCTGTCAGGAAACATGTTAAACATAGTTTAATTTCACCAAACTGCGTAAATTAGTCATATAAATATCTTATTTTCACTTCCACCAGAGACAGATGGTGTAATGTGTAATACAAATAAATGAAACAAAACAAATACAAAAAACTGCATCCCAATTAGTTTACGTTGGCATTAATTGTAAGGCATTAGTATACAATTAAACTTGTTTTAATGCACAAACTCACAAAGCTTATATAGAAGAGTATGTGTGATGCGAGCAGGAGCAGATGGATTGTAAAACATGCATTTACATACACTTCATGTGACTGAATGGTATTCCATGATTCTAAACACGTACTTCCTGTATGCATATTCATGCATGTCAGGTTCATATAAGAATGGTTTTAAACAGTAAAAAAATTTACATTTTAGTGAGCGGGTGAAAATAAGTTCACCATGAACATTAATAAACTGGAATAGGGAACATAGATTGATTTAAGTATTTGAGCAAATTGCCTATCTTATTTTCTTCTGCTGAAGAGAGAACAGTTGCTGTTCTGTTTCGGCCATCAGACGACTGATTAAAAAAAATAAGAAAATGTTTTTTTTTTAGCTGTGCGAGCCTATTGCCTGCAACTGCTTTGCCAGTTGTGGTCATTTTCATGCTCATTCAACCAGTGAAAACCAGGGAAAGGGGGCTAGGGTAAGCAATTGTAAAAAACTAAAACATAAATAACATTAAGAAAGACCAAATAGGCCAGAGTTTTGGAATAGCCCTCCCTTGTGAGCATGTTCCAGTAATTAGCCCAACTGTTCATTCATGTCTCAGGTGAAGAGGGAGGCAGTATTAGTTTGGAATAAGGCTGAGTTTGCATGTAAATACACTTACTAAACACTGAATGACTGTCTCAATTCACTTTTCGTAATAATAACAACAATAATGCACCAAATAATACAAATGGCATATAAATACACAAGTCAAAGTGTTGTCAGCTGAATATTACACCCAGAGTTATAAACGTAATCATTTAAGTAAGTTACATTTTATTTAACACTTGCTAAAATGAAAGCACTTAAGGTAGTTTTATTTTAAGGAAAAAAAATATTAAGATGAAGAACGGCCACAACAACTGGCCCCACAGTGTCAAATAGTGAATCAGTCCTATACCAAACATGCAGCAATGAGCATTATAATTCCATGTGTATACCTGTAAAACAAATAAATAATACTGCCCAGAGGGCCAGGACAACATCCCTTGTCTGCTATGACCTTGTTCATATGCACCTAGTTTGCAAGGCAATACATATGCCACAACTGAGTTTGTACAGTTGGAGCGACCCTGAGTTTGCAGCACTGCTTCTGGGATGTTTTGTTTTGTGAAGATGTCAACTTGATTAACAAGTCCGCAGTTCAGCAGTAGGGATGGCTTGCTTCTATTATGCTTCCAGTATAGTTTTAGGGACCCTGATAACCCAGAACTCCTGCATGTTGATTACTGACTGTGAAATGCATCAGTGTATTTCTAGCAGTATTCCACCTACGTATGTTCACCTATAAGTCAATATGCAGCATACATACATACAAAATTTTCTTCAGTTTCTAATTGTGTAGTGACAAAAACAAAATACTCTCTATGCAAATGTGATTCTCTTCAATTATTATCTTTTAACATGCACTTCTACTATAAGGAAACCATACAGTGCTCTAGATATATGAGTTGAAAACATACCACGTAAATAACGCCACTATACCTTACACTCAATAACACAAAATTCAGCGATGGACAGTAAGACTTCTGTGCAGTCAATTGAAAATGTTTCTATTTTAAAACAAGTAGTTAGGAGAGAATACATAAAAGCACACACTTTTGAAGCCTCAGCTTTATGTTTATATGGAAAACCTCAGTCAACTAAGCTGCAAGAAGAATTGTGTTACATGCCACATTTTACCTACATTGACTGAGTTAGCTGGTGTTCATTTCAAGCCTAGGTGATCATAATTATTTATACTTCTCTGGTTTTCCATGGGTCTGCAATCACACAATTCTTAGCAGAAAGCAGATTGCAGTTGTGAAAATGGCTACACCACGGAAATTGGAATGTCACACGATCGTATATACTGAACTTGAATACTGAAGTGAGACCTCAGACTGATAAATTTTGTCCCTGGAGCCCCATTTGAAAATACATGTACTGTTTACTATGACAATAGGACAATGTTTCACTGTTTTAGGGGACCCCTAGTGATACCCCTTGTGGGTTCCTATACATCACAATTTGTGAACCACTGTCTTCGAGATGAATCCGGCAAAATCGCAATTGGGATTTGTACGTCAGCAAAGATATAGACAATACATGGTTTGAGGAGGGATAAGAGGGGATGCCACCCCCTTGTTAGCAAAATGACCAAAACACATCATTGTTAACCTGTCAACCCCCCTTTCCACCCATTCGTAGCAGAGAGAGTGCAGGGGCAGAGGGGTTGTTTAATTTAGCCTTTCCACTGGGCTTTCCCCTAATAAAAATGAACAAATCACAGGGGTGCCCTGTGGCTGGTTAAACATATGTTTGATATAATTTGATTACATACTCATATGTGAATATAATAATAGTAATAATAAAGTCTCAGCTAAGCTAAAGATTAATGAATGTAATGTTAATGGATTAATGTGTAAATTAAAAATAATGCCCAATCAGCACTAGGGGTGTTGCAAAATACAGACAAATGTATGTGCACATCAAACTATTTGGTTATTGTAGGCATTCTAACCTAGCTGTTAGTTTTTGCAGTGAAGATCAGCAAAAGTGTAGGCATCCTGGAGGCATATTGGACACACATGGACTACAGAGATCCATGAAAACTAATTTAAACTTATCTCTCCTCTCTACATCACCAAACATCCTCAGGACTGCCCACTGCTGCCAATCCTCTTTCCATGTCTTCATCCCGGGTTACTGGGATGCAACAACTCCAAGCCTGATGCCCTTCTTGCCAGTGGGTCTGGCAAAGTAGCAATGATTAAAATGCATTTTTAATTGCAATGACCACAGGATGTCAAAGAACAGAACTATTGCTTAAATGTTCTAACTTTATTTGATGGTGATGGAACAGGAAAAAGGTTACTGTGATTTGCTTAGCTGCTAAGATGTATAAGAAAGTGCAGTATGAGTTGAGCAAACATTTTGTTTGTGGGCTTGTATGTACTTGTGCTGGTCACTGAAACTGTGCAGTAAAAACAGGGCCTGCACATTACTTATACATTACATGTTGACTTTATCAGCATTCTAATTGTATCGTAGCCTCATATATATATATATATATATGAGGCCAGTATATACCATTTATATACTGTATAATTAAATAACTCCATCACCCTCCCTTTCAAAGCGTTTAGGAGAAACGATGGTGGCAGTATTTAGTTTGTCCATTTTGGGCTATTGTAGAAACATGGCGGCTTCCGTGGAAGAGGACCCGCTCCCTCTGTAGATAAAAATAGCTCATTCTAAGGTAACAAAAGCACAACCATTTGCAAGTGATTAAACAGAAATGAAAACATACCTATACTATATTCCATTTCTGCCAGTACATCCTCCTAAATGTTACACATTGCACGTTTAATTTGTTTTCATCTGTTTCATCAGCATTATACAACAAGTTGCTGATGGTAGAATTATGCATTTTTATTTCTTATAAAAGATTTATTGGCTTTGTCTTGGTATAGTCTTGGAATAGCATTGACATTTTTGAAAGTCCAAAACAGCTGCTGCCATGCACCTGTGCCTGTACACCTGCACAAAAACCTCCAATCCAACTCTCCCATACACCCACCAATGCTCCACCTCCCTGTCTTCATTCAAGGTGCACCTCCCTATCTTTTTGTTGTTGTGAGTGACAAGTGGATTAAGGGGCTCTGGCAGATGAGACTCCAGGTAGCAGGAAGTCAACCATGACAAAATTAAGCAGACTTGACAGTGGCTGCTGAGTCAGTTTCTCAGGAAGGGAAGGCAGGAGGTGAGTGGAAGGAGTACCCATACAGCACACAGACACACACATACACAGAGGTGGACAGAGAAGTTACTGCAAAGCTGAGTGGACTGCAGGTCTGTTGATCAAGACTGATGGACCTGTAGCATATGTCAAGAGGTGAGGCTTTGTCCGTGTGTGGAAAAGGGCTAAGACTGGATTGATGATTGAGTGAGTTTGTGAGTTGGTT